CTACTTCCAGAAAGGAGATCGTCTTTCTCTTGATACTTTTGAATCATTGGATTCAGACGTGTTTTGCAGTGGTCCTAAGAAAAGGAGATTCAGTCACCCTCTTTCAATGTCATGTTGACTTAAGGTCGACCATTCTCTTACTTCAGAGTTTAGTATGTACATGTGCATCAATAAAAATTGACCCTTAATTTTCTAACTGTGTTTGGTGTCATTTATTGTGATCCAACAACATTACCATCTTCTAACACCAGACAAAAAAAAAAAAAAAAAAAATACAAACCCACTCCAAGGTCTCTAGGAGTTCAGCATGAAAGTGAAAATAGACTAATGAATTTTTTAATAATTTTTGTTTAATTTTATATACATAATTTTACTATTTATGTATGGCATATTGTTGGAAAATCCTTGCTTATTATAATAAAATATAAAAAAGATAGATATTAATAATGGTATATAATAACTTTTTATGCAGAGGTTCCCTGAGACACAAAAACTATTTCAAAGGTTCCACAAGAGTAAAAAAGTTGAGAAATGCTGATCTACAGGATAAAATATACTATGTGAGATTTTTCAAGGTTTTCTCACTAAAATTGGTATTAACTAACCAACAAAGTTTTATATATGCATGTTTGTGAATTTATGTTTTTAGAAATATTTACAATAACTTATTTGGAGGTATGAGATTTTATTATAGAATGCAAGGGTTGTACATAACAATAAATAATTATATATAATAGTTACTGATATAGTTTCAGATATATAAAGATTGCTGTTGGGTGTAAGAAAGAGAAAAGAGAAACATGATATTGTAAAGTTATAAAGCGAGTGAAGGTAACACAATGATAGTGTAAAAAGGAATGAAACAGATAATATAACAAAAAAGAAATTGTAAAAATTGGCAAGATCAAGAAAAAAAAATGCCTTCAAGAATGTCAAAAAAAAAAAAAAAAAACTAAGAAAATTAAAAGTGGGGTAATCAGCAAGAAAAGTGGATTGACCAACAAGAAAATATCTGAAGTAGTTGGTTTGATGAATGTAAATAAAGAAAAAAATGCAGAATATAAAAAAACTGGCTGAAGACAGGAAAACAAAACTACCACCTTTAAGTAAACACCACAAAGTGAAATGTGTAAGTTGAGTCAAAACGTGTGTGTGTGTGTGTGTATATATATATATATATATATACACACACACATAATGTATGACAAAGTCAAAAAAGTTTTCATGCAATGCATTTCGTCCTTTAGGAATTCATCGGACTAAATTTGTTACATTTTTGCGACTACACATGCAAACAAACAAGGGATGCTGGAATTAATTTTTTTTTTTTTTGGTATTGAATCTAGCCAATTTCATTTAAATTCTTTTTCTTTTAGTTTCCATCAATTTTGTTATCAGATATCCTACACTGATAATAGATCTGCTAGGAATGGTGAAATGTTCTAAGAGCCAGAACGTAAATTTAGTGCGGATGATCAAGGCATTCTCTAGACATTTTCATCTTGGTGAATTGTTTCTCCTTTGATAAGAGCATCTTTTATGTTGAAACTGTTGTCACTTTCATTACAGTGAGCAACTAATAAATTTAATGTGTTTTTGTCAAAATGTCCCTTTTGTGTTCATATATTTTATTTACATTTCTTGAGGTTTCTCATATGTATTTTTGTGACAATTTTTACAGGTGGTAGAGTAAATTTCTCAAAGTTTCAACTTGTTTTGTTTAGTATTGACCAAGTCTTTTATTGTTTTTGATATAGTAGTAACAAACTTTGTCGGACATTTTTCACCCCCAATATTGTTCTCAACATATAAAAATTTATATGAAGAAATATAGTCTTAAGATGTGCTATATTTATGGTATAAAGTGCTCAATATCCGAGATAGAGCATGTGTAAAAATAAAGGTGAACAAAGAAGTCAACACTTAGAGGTGACAGTCTGTTTCATGTTAGATGCAAACTCATGGCCTGACGATTACATCTAGCATGAAACAGACTGTCGCCTCTAAGTTAACTACTATGTTCACTTTTATATTTATAAAAATGTATATATTGTTATATATTTCAAACTAATAATAATTTCTTGGCACTTGTATCTGAGGATGCCTGTCTATTAGTGTGGGTAGTCAATCCCTTGTGCTCAGGCACATTTGTATTTGTTCAATACCCACAGAGCCCACCTTTATACTGCAACTATGCTGAGTGGACCTTAGTTACAGTTCAGAGCATAAAATGAAAAAGCATCAAATTGACAGGTTTTGTTCCTGAAAGGAGCTTCTTCAGACTAGTAACATACATGTATCTGGATGCATGCTAATGAAGTTCTTTATAAAAAAAAAAACTTTATAAATTTCAGTAAGATATTTTTTCATCCTGTCATTCACTTAACCACAACAATATTGACAACTGATTTCTCTGCTGTATTTTTTAGTGATTGATGTACAACTGTTTTAGAAGGACTAAATTGATGGGTCCTTCACATAAATAGTTAACTAACCTTAAGGAGGCAGACTAATACTTTGAATGTGCATTGTTAAAAGATGCTGATAATGATGGTCTCAAATAAATGCAGAGAATTATTCAAAGTTCTTTGACAAGGCAATGTTGAATGATACAGACAAAAACCAAGAAACTTAACCTTTAGACACCTGCTTTATTAATATTACTTATCACTGCATTTTTTCAGGGCTTCTCTATTGTAGTATCCTTATTGTTAATTTCACTTAAAATTGTTTTCTGTTGCCATAGAAATATATGACAACACAACTATGAAATTAAAACACACTATTGTTAGGGATCACAGTCACCTTCAGTGGCAAGATAAACTTTTTGTACAGTAAATGAAGTCACATACAGAATGATAAAAGGTTAAAATAATATATTCACAACAGACAATATTGCTTCCCACTCACATTCCAGCTTCTCCAGATATTAATCCAAGAGAAAGTAATAAATGATATATATATATATATGAGAATGGTAAAAAATATTCAAGCAAAGATGATATCTAAGAAGCTATGGAAACTGATAAAGTCAAAAAAGTACATAAATTAACAAAAGCAATAGTTTAAAGATTTATTACAAAATGTCAAGAACCCCATATTAACATAAATAGAATAGTTTATTCAGGCATGACAATATACCTATTTGAACTGTTAGGTAAGCTCAACTTATATTGGAAAGATATTAGGATAATCTACAAAATTTACTGGAAACCAATCACCTGCATGTGAATAGGAAACAAGCAAGTACACAAAACTAGAATGAAGAGTAAAACAAAGATATGCTTTCTCACTGGATTTATTTAATCTGTACAATGAGAGAATCACAAGATTCTCTCATCTTCTATGGCTTAACCTTTTGCAGGTTATTTAAAGACAGAATATATTTTTAGATTGTAAAAATTTGATTGGGGTATAATAATTCTTTAATGATAACTCTTCTACAGTGGCTCAAAAAAATCTTTGCTTGAGGTTGTCTGATAGATCTGATTTCCAGATTACATCCATTTTATTTAAGGTGGCTCAGTTGTTAGCTATATGAATTTTCACATCATTTTCGGAAATTATCTCACTTCCTAAGTATGTAAAAGATTTGATAGATTTTACTGATTCACCTGAGACAGTTTCTATTGAGCCTTGTTGGTTGAAGCCTATGAATTCAATTTTAGAGCTATTGACAGAGTCCATATTTATTTTTCTAGATGATGTAGGAGTACTGTTGCCTTGGTAATGGGGTCTGCACTAATAGCTAGGTCATCTGTATAGTCAATATCGTTCAACTTTTTCGCAGGATATCAACTTGAGAGTCTTGGTGATAAAGTAAAACCCTAGATGATGATCTTTGTTGATGCGATATGTAGTCAAGGGTGATAACAAAGAGAAAAGGTGCAAAGGTGTCACCCTGGAGGATTCCTGCTTTGATGTTGAAGTAGTTAGTGTCTTCGTCTGGAGGATCTAACCAAAGATTTAGTATTTTTGTATTTGAGGTGGTGTTAATGTATGGTGCGACTGCCTGGACATTAACTAAAACGCTACAGTCTAAGCTTGATGGAACCTACACTCAGATGCTGAGAGCTATACTTAACATCTCCTGGAGACAAAATCCAACTAAATCACAGCTTTATGTACCCATCCCTTATATTTCTACAATTTTACACAAACACAGAATGTGCTTTGCAGGATACTGCTGGCAAGCAAAACAAGAACTTGTGAGTGATCTACTGTTTTGGACACCTGACCATGGAGCAATCACCTACATTGACCAGCTATGGTATGACACAGAATGCATCTCTAATGACCTTCTGACCTTGATGCAGGATCATGATAGACTCATGAATATCCAAACTAACTCAACCAATATAACTCTTATAAATTAACCCAAAGCTGGAGGGAGAAGAGATGGATTCATAACTTTTCCAAGTGTATTTGCATGTAAGAGAATATAATGAACCCAACGGGAAATTATTTACATTGTTGAGACTATCGTCCTCCTCTTTGTTGCCATATTTATCACAATATTTTGGCCATTGTATGCTCCAGCCTTCTTCAGGTGGTTGGAATGTCAAACTGAACCCTTTATTTTGCTCGCTGAGGTAGAGTGTTCTAGTTCCATATGCCATGTCTAATGGATGTCAGTTATCAGTTATCTCCTGTTAATTCCCCTCTCCAAGTTCTCCACCACCTTAACCAAGTATTGAACTCACAACTCTTTGGGTCCTGTCACTGGATCTAACACCTTCACTCACTGCGCCAGGTGTCCAGTGAGCGAAATAAAGGGTTCAGTTTGACATTCCAACCACCTGAAGAAGGCTGGAGCATACAACAGCCAAAACGTTGTGATAAATATGGCAACAAAGATGAGAACGATAGTCCAAACAATGTAAATAGTGTACATAATGCCTCATCTCAGAAATATAGACAGATACCAACTGGAAATGGAACTTGGCTATCCGATTAATAATTCTGGGCCATTATCCATTACACTATCTGAATATCCAAGTTTACAGCACCTAGGGTTCTCAAGTGGTCACCCATCTAGATACTAACCAGGCTTAATGTTGCTTAACTTCAATGATCATACATGAACTGGTGTTTGAAGGTCATGTGGCCTTAAACCAGATAACAATAACAGAACTTTAAGACTTATCAGGATTTCTGATTGGTGGTCATAATTGTAATTATATTGATGGCAGAGTCAGAGGAAAACTGCAAGAACTACTAGAGAAGGAAAGCATGAAGAAAGGACTAACCATTAACTATAAGACAGAAATGTATGGTCATCAATAAGAGAAACAACCAAAGGTGTGAACTTTAAATTGGTTTAGAATCAAGTAGGTACAAAAATTGAACAATTTATGGTGGTAGAATCAGACAATGGAGAGTATGACAAATAAATCAAAAGGTGAATCAGAATATTAAAACATCCCTTCCAGAAACCAATCAAAATATTAAAACAGGAATATTTCATTAGAAACAAAGAAAAACTATGTTATATGTAATCTTTTGTATAGCAGAGAAAGCTAGACAATTTGTCTATATATGAAGAGATTAGAAGCAATAGAATTGTAGTTCTATAGACAGATGATGAAATACTATAGACTGAAAAGGTGAATAACAAGGAAATTCTAAAGAAAAAAGGACTTTCACAATTAAAAATTAGAGAGACACATGAGGAAAGATGGCTTGAAAAATTTAATACTTATAAGGAGGAAAAGAGAGGTAAAAGAAAACCTCAAGCAATTTGTTTAATGAGTGTGTGAATAGCTAGCAGAGTAGGGAACAGTTGTGAAAACAGTGTCTAGGACTATTTATGTCCTGAAGAGACACAAACCATAAATAATGGCAGTTGTTATGTTAGTTAACAGAAACGTGTGTTTTGACTATGTAAAAATGTCTATGTCCTTTATTTGAATAATAAAATCTTGCACTTGCAAAAAGTTCTTTTGCTACAAATTTCATATAACGTTTGTAGTTGCTGGTTAGTAAGACTGTAAGGAAAACAATGGAACAAAACTTTGAGTGAAGATGAATTTAATCAGATGAGAATATGAATTAAGAATATAATAGTTCAGTGCAACAAGTATATGACTGAAAAGCACTATGCCTTTGAGACCCAATTTTTGTCTGTTCTATGAGCAGACATTCTACTCTTAGTAGGTGGAGGAGTCCATGTTTCAATAATAGGTGTAGAGAAGGTAAGTCAGTCTTTCTACACAATATCTTTTTAATAAGGATAAGGATACATTTTCAACTGCCCAATGTAGATTGTATGCACCGAACATTTATTATTGATGTAAGTATTAGTAAAGCTTAACCCAACTAAAATGAAAAGAGAGCCAAAAACAATATGAGAAATGACAACAGTATGAAAAGACAAGTAACTGATGACCATTTGCCAATATCCTTAAATAATATACCAAGATTTGAGTTGGGAAAAGAAGTGTAGAAGAAGTTTTAACAATAACATCAATTTACATGTTAAGCCATATTCTTTATTGCCCAGAAAAGATAGACATTTTTATAAATCAAATGAAAATGCTATACTTTTAACAAAGCAATAAGAGAATATATAACAAATGAGATTAATGTTTAATAATGCATTTCTTATTCAGGAAGATTATTACATAAAACAAACAGCATTTGAAGCCGTATTTTTTTTTTTTTAACTACAGTGATGTTCATCCTGTACAAGGATTGGGAGCCATTTGAGGTTCAGGGTTACAGATTAAGAGGTACAGTTTATGCAGATATGTGAGAAAGATAACAACCAATCCTAAACTTGAACAGGTTAAGATTGTAGTGATCGAAAAAAACACCCACTTAGGAGTCAGTTCTACAGATCAGCAGTTTGCAGGAAGATGCTGGAACTTCCATCTCACAAATGGAATACAAAGGTAAAGAAGGTAGTTAGATACAATGGCAGGTCTTAGCCGTGTAGGTTAGAACTGGTTGAAGTAAGCAATGTAGTCTATCTGAGTACTTTCCATGGAAATAGCGATAGTGCGGTGAGAGGCTTGCACCAATTTGTCTGTGAGAAAGTGGTTGTAAAGAAAATAATTTGTAAACCACAAGAATGCGGAGATGTATGTTGAATATATAATAAAAATACATTAAAATGCAATACTTCTGCTGTTATAATGATAAACACAACAGTAAAGTTATGCTGCTAATGCAAATAATTTATTACATATAAGTATGAGAGGGTTTCTGAAAAGTTCTTCCAAAATTTGACCAAACATCAGAATTTGTTTTAGAGTCCCTTATTGGTTAAACCAAGAACATTTTGTATGTAGCTAACAATGCATAAGAGGAATTTTTTTATCACTGTTTTTATATACAGATATTTCGTTCTGATATTGCAAATAAAAATTTATACATTATCCATCACATAGAAATAAATGTTCTGTAAAATAACAGATACAAAAATGATATAATGTATATATAATGGTGGCTGCTCATATCCGAGGATGCCTGTCTACTAGGTTGGCCTGTGGTTTATACTGCAACTATGCTTAACAGACTATAGTTATAGTTTCAGTGAGAGAGCACATTATCTGGCACAATCAACAGCCAGAACAAGGCCAGTATGCTCAAACCCTTAGTCACGATGACTTGTGACTTTATGCTAGCACAAACTATCGACAACTCCCAAACAGTTCTGTCTACAGTTTCACTCAAGACTTGTATCAACTTGTGGTTTTCAGACATTTTCCAAATGGTGCCATCCACTGGGATTACCTCCCCCAGGCTGATAACATCAAGAAGTCACCTTTGTGATAAATTGAACATGAACATTTTGAACCCTGGACTCATGGTTGGAAAGTGAACATTCTAACCATTTGGCCATGTGCTCACTACAAAAATAATAATACTTTGGAAAAAAAGTGTTTATTAAAAAAAACGAACTACCATGTAATTCAAACAGAGGGTAATGTATACATGGTTTATATCAGGCTAAGTTGCACAAGGTGTGACACTAATTAACGGAATGACTAAAGAATTGTGACACTATGATTGGGACTACCACATTGGTGGGGAAGTTGTGATTTTCTCTTGGGTCATAAGTGTTTATTTTATAGCCAACAGATAAAATTAGATGTTCTAAGTGGCATTTATTAGACTGAAAAAACAAAATAAATGAATAAAAGAAAGTTTTTAGGGGTCAAGTGACAACAAAATCGGACATTTAGAATTTCTGACCATTGGTTACAATTGGGATTGTGAAGTAATTAATTCTGGTCTGCCCATGGCTGATGATGGACTGTCCCTAGAGTAGATCTGATGATACCCATTTGTGTTACTAGCCACATGTTGTGATGTTCAGATGAGCCGAGAGATGTTAGGAGAAAAGTTTGATGGGAAGAGGTGGTCTATTAGCTCAATAAGGCAAAAGTTGTCCCAAGTGTCACCTATATATCTCCACTCCAGAGCAAGCAAAACCCTGAATAAAACTCCAAATTGTATTAGAAATATGGATGAAGTTACCATTTCTTGTCATGAAATTTCTTTTCATCTTTTGTTTCCTTGTGAGTTTACAGAAAGTTCTTCTTGGTTTTTGGTGCACACCAATGTGAACAAGAATAGGGATGCAACATGAAATAGCCACTGGTTTGTCTGTGGGGAGCTGGGTGAGTGCCCTGTTGCATGTTTACAGTGTGTTGCTAGGTTAATGAGTCAAATAAATAAATGGATATATTGCAACTTCCACTGTCTTCAGACTCAGATCAGTCATTCATTGCCAAGCAGTAGAGGTAGATGCATGTGTTCATGTTATATTTTTGGCAGAAAATAAGTGAAAGAATCTGGAGCAGCAAATTAACAAGATTGGTAGAAGTGATAATGAAATGTTAACCTTATTAAAAATGGCTTATGGTGAACATGCTATAAAGAAATTGAACATTTTTTTTATTGACACAGGCAGTTCAAGGAAGAGCAAGAAGAGGGACAACCAAAAACTCAAAGATGGAAATGTTCATTTGGAAGTGTTGTAAAGTTTACAAAAATCTGTTTGAAGGAAATGATTCTATTTATGGACTAACAAGTGGATTCTCTACCATGACAATGTTTCAGCACATGATACAATAGGATTTCACTAATTCCTGTTTAAAAAAAAAAATCCATTATAAGAATTAGCTATATAACTTATTCAGCAGGCTTAGTACTCTCTGATTTTTGGCTATTTCCAAAATTTAAAAATTTCCTGAAAAGGACAAAAATTTGTTGATATATATCTGACATCCAGCAATATGTAACTACATTGAAACATATTTCATAAAATGATATCCAAGAACAGTTCCAGCAATGGCATCATTATATCATGAAATGGATAGCTTTACAAGGAGTGTACTTTCAAGGTGTCAACAGATAATAATGACCAGGTAGGCAAACTTTGATTTCAAAGGGCCATTCCATGAATTAAATTGTTACCCACATATATAACTGACAAATAATACCAACATTTTTAAGTAGATTACAGTTATTCAAGCACTAAAATAAAATTAAAAAAAAAAAAAAAAATGACATGATACTTCAGGATGTAACTGATCCTAATTCTCCAGACAGCTTTTTTTTTTATTCTCTATGAATTGATGCACTTTCTTGGCAAAGATTGTAGAACAGTTTTCAATTGCCTTCTGTCTGGTTTGGAATGCAGAGTTTCATTATCTTAGACTGGTTATTCCCCAAGGCTAGAGAGCCCAGTCTACCCTGTTATTTAACCTATAGCTGGAGGGTGATGAAGAGTGATTAATGTCTTTTCACAAGTTCATTTGTGCAAAAGTGAGTCCACTTTAAATGCTGATAAGCACTATGCTACTTCCATATTCCTGAAGTAGACTTACTGGCCTAGTTATTTATTTATCAAGCACATAGAAAATTGTACATGGATGAACTGGATAACTAAAAATTTACACAGAAAGTGTCTTTGTTGGAGAAATTCAAGAATTACTTTTCCAGGGCCATCCGGTTCCTTCTAAAGTCTTCTCATTCTCTTTCATTCCCAGTAGCCCCACTTGCATCTTAGTAGCATTATCACTTTGCTTGGGGTGAAATGATAAAAAAAAAAAAAAGATAGAGAGAAAAAAAAAAGAAAGAAAGATG